AGGTGGAAAACACCCTGAACCTGCATTCTTGAGAGGAGGAATCCTCTCTTCAGAGTTCTTAATCTCCCATGGTCAAGTGTAGGTGTGAAAAACAAGGATATCAAACACAGTTTTAGAACCCTGTTTCTGGATTTCCAAGAAGCCCAAGTTCTCCTCTGCTCAGTGAGGATGGAGGAGATGCAGGAGGTCTGAAATTGTTCAGAAACACACATTTGAAAAGGATCCTTTTCCTTTTTTGATAACCCAGAAAGCAGGAGCTGGTGTGCCATCTATTAAACTATAAATAAAGACATAAAAGAAGAATTCCTAATCCACATCCAAGAAGGGCTGAGGTTCAAAACCCAGACCCCACCCAGGACTTCAGCATCTGGAGTGTCCCATCTCACACCTCAAAACATTCCCAGGCCTGGACTTTGATTTGGGTCTGCAGCCCTTTGTGTTGTTTTCTCGGGGGTGCAGCATTTTCCAGGCTCTTTCCAGCAGAATTCTTTCCATGCTGCCCATCACAATTTTTATGGAGTCATGAGGCAAATTTACAGCTGAGAAACTTCTCCCTGGCCCCACGCTGCCTCCCAGCTTTGATGTGCACAGCCCTATAGCCATGAAAATTCACATCCACTTAACTCAACTCCTAATCAAATCCTTGGGAATCAGCACGTTCCTGGGTGGATTTGCAGCTGCTGCAGCAGTTTGGGCACCACGTGGCCACCAAAACCCTTCCCTGGGAGCTCAGGAGTGGCATCACTACTCCCCAAGCACCCAGGAGAATGAGAGATAGCAGCAGGATTGCCAGGGCACATCTTGCAAGCAGCATTCCCTAAGGAAAAGGCCCCAACCACCCTCCTGAAAAGGCTGATGCTGCATCCCAACACTGTTCACCAGCCCAGGCCTTTGCAGGACCCTTTTATGCAGTTCCTAAAGCCCAGCTGGGGCCCAGAGCTCTCAGACTGGGGCAGTTTAGGGCACACCCAGGAGGAATCACTCTGGAACTGGGAATTACCTGGGCTGCTGTAATTGCTTGCAGCAGGACAAGCTGAGACACCTGAGGCTTCCTGGGGACGGCCTCCAGTGGGTGCTTTCCTGTCTGAGGGGACAAACACCTCTTCCATCCTCTCTGGGCACCCTGTGCCAGGCCCCCACCACCCTCACAGCCAGGAATCCCTTCCCAATATCCCATCCATCCCTGCTCTCTGGCAGTGGGAAGTGGGAAGCCATTCCCCTTGTCCTTCTCTCCATCCCTTGTCCCCATTCCCTCTCCAGCTCTCCTGGAGCCCCTTTAGGCACTGGAAGAGGCTCTGGGGTCACCCTGGAGCCTTCTCCTCTCCAGGTGAGCACCCCCAGCTCTCCCAGCCTGGCTACAGAGGGACTCCAGCCCTTGGAGCAGCTCTGTGGGCTCATCTGGACTTGCTCCAGCAGCTCCAGGTCCTTCTGATTTTGGGGTTCCAGCGTTTGAGGCTCTGAGTGTGGGGTTCCAGAGTGTGGTCTCACCTGAGCAGGGCAGGGAGACAGAATCCCCCTTCCTGCTGCTCACACTGGGGAAGTGCAGGCCCCTCATTGTCACCCCCAGCCCCTCTCACTGTGACCCACCAGCCCCTTCAATTCCCCCTCCTGCACCCCCAACTCTGTGCCTTGGTTCTTCAGCACAGCGGGTGCCTCCCCCCTTTGCCTCCTGCACCAATCTGTTTTTTTAAAACCATTTATTTCCATCCCCATCCAATTTCTTCCCCTTTTCCTGGTTTTCTTTCCAAGCAGAGGGTTTCCAGCTCGCGATGGGGATGGCCACAGTGTAACTCCAGAGCTTTGTCCCGTGGCCTTTCCCAGCCTGGCACGCAGCGCTCAATTTGGAGTGCGGTGTCCTTGCTCTGTTCCATGCCGAGCTCTGTTGTCCAGAGGAATTAATTCCAGATTATGTGTGGGTGTGGACTTCAGCTGGGCAAAATTTGGATACCCTGGTTGAGTCATTATTGTCTGATGAATCTCTTGGTGACAGCCTTCGCCCCTATTGTTCTGAGGTGAGCCCCGTGGCAAGAAATGTGAAAGCAAGAAACAAAAGAATATAAAGAAAGGTTACGAAATCAAATTCAGTTAAGGCAGGGTTATTGTCCCTCCATCCCGCCCCTCTGGCCTCCAGTTGGGATTGGATTTGGCAGGAAAACAACCCCCATGGGACAGTGGCTGGGGTTTAGAGCAGGTTCTGGGGGGAGCCCGTCCCTGTGGGACCCTGGTGGCCCCAGTGACACAGCAGAGACAGGGAGGAGGAGTTATCATCAATTCTTAACATTTTATTTCTTTACTGGGTTAAACAAGGAGCAGAGAAAACCTCGGCCCCAAAATACAACAGAACTGAAAGCATTACAGGTACAGAGACTATTGAACACAGAGAGTAGTAGGATAATATTTTAATACAACTGAATTATAGCATGGGATTGTGTTTTTGTTGGGTTTTTTTTGTTTGTTTTTTGTCAAACCAGTTTGGAAAATAAATGTAATAGGAACTAGTGCAAAAAAGTTCTAAACATGAAGCACAGTGTATAAAATGGCATAAGAAAACTGTCCCCTCGAGGACACAGTCACTTTCTTATGACAGAAGGGAGAAAGAGAAACAGAAGGGGGGTGGGAACAGAGGGAGGGTCCAGGAGGCGGAGGAGGAAAAGCTGGAAAGAAAGAGAAACCGGGCCGGGGGATTAGAAAGGATACTTTGACTTCAGCAATGTTGGTTTGTGTTTCACCACCACGCACTGTTAAAGGACCTCGTTGGGGTCGGGCCGAGCTCTGTCACCACCCACATGGCACAAGCACTTGAGAAGGGTTCGGGCAGCAGCAGCAGCCTGGGCACTGCAGGGGTCGGGTCCCACAGGTGCCCCCGAGATCCCCACAGGTGCCCCAAGGCCCTGGGACACCCACGCAAGGCAGGGAGCCCCAGCTCGGACACAATCCAGAGGGAGAAGGGCACGAGGGGCTGGGCTCCCCTCCTGCTCTCCCTTCCCACATCCCTCAAGGACCAGCACATGGAATTTGTTCCCAATTTCCACTCCCGGGCTCAGATGGGAGCATCTCCCTTTTGAAGGCATCCTGAGGCTGTGTCCGAACGGGAGGCTCAGAGGAGCTGGATTCAGTTTGGGTTGGAACAGAAAACCAAACCAAACCTCCCTCAGAGGGATGGCTGGGGATCCCCAGGAATTCCTGCCAGGCATCAGCATCTCTGATTCCCACGGGGAAGGTGTCCCTGCATTCCCAAGGTGTTTTCCCAGCCTGCTCAGCCAGGATTTGCTCCAGCCTGTTCCCACCATGGAGCCACCCAGCCTCCTGCCCTGGAGAAACTGGCTGGATGCTATTTTAAGGAGAGCTGGTTGGAATTCCTTACAAATTGCTATTCTCTCCCAATCCACTGCTGCCTGTTCCAACTCTGTGAGCAGAAAAAGTGTGATTGATTTTTTTTTTTTTTTTTTTTGCCTCGTTTTCTTTTTGGAAAATGAAAGGTTTTGCGGGAAAGGACTGTTCTGGATGCATTTCTCAATTTGCAAAAAAAAAGAAAAAAAAGGAAAAAAAAGAAAAAAAGAAAAAAAATTGGTCATAATGATCAATCTGGCTTGTTTTGACAAGTTTCAAAATTAAAAAGAATCACTGTCTGGCTCTTTTTGTCTTTTTGTTTTGCAACTTAGGCATGTCCAGTTCCCAAATACATTTAAAAATGGTAAAACCAACCCCAAATTTCATAAGCCAAACCTAATTCTTGGGGTTTTCTTGTTGAGTTTCAGTTCACAACAAGCAGAGTTGTCGACCTTCTGGGCTGAAAAAAGATCATCCTGAAGTGCTAAAAAGGCTGGAAACCGCTCCTGGCCTGCCTGGAACACAGGTCCTGGAGATGTGGAGCAGGAAAGGGTGGAGGGACTGGGCTAAGGAACTCACCCATCTCCTGCCCAGGCCTTTGAGAGGGACTGAGAGCTTTGATAAAACCCCAACAACTTTTAAAATTTATTATTCCTTATTTTTTTTATGATCCTCAATTAAAAATGGTCCATTCCCCACCACAGTCTTCCCTTTGCTCCCTTCTTCCTTCCTCACACAGACATGCAGGGCTGGGAGGTCACCCAAAGAGCCACCTGGACCAAGAACACCCAAAAAGAGCTGCTAAAATCCTTCAATTCCTGGAATAAAATGAACTCATGGTGGGAGCTGTGCAGCTCCAGGGCTGCTGTGATGCAGGAGCTCCAAGCAGGCTCCTTCTGTGGCAGAAGGGATGATTTTGGGCTTGTGTGATGGTGGTACCTCCAGCTGGGATGCCTGTGAGCCAGCTTTTGGGCTGAAGGAAATCCTTAACATCCAACCTGAACACCTGACATGGCCCTTCCCAACTTTTCCAGCCTAGTTTAAGGGAGATTCAACCAGCCAGGGACGGGAAACCCCAGGGAAGGGCAAAAAGCTGATTCACAGAATTCCCTGCCTGTCTTGGGTTACAATGTAAGATGTAACCAAAAGATAGGCGGGGCAGTGTTCTTTATCTTCTCCCTGATAACCCCCTCCAGGGAAGCACCAGCCACTCTGTGGGGAGCCATCTCCAGGAATGGGCCACCAAGGTTCCACTCATAGAATCTTATCATCCCACTGTGAGATGCTCCACCCTGGGGGAGGAACCAAACATTCCTACCTGGATAGAATCTGAGGCCTGGAACACCACTGGAGCACCACCACTGCATTCCCAGAGGACAAGAGCTCCATAACCAACATGGGACTGACAGAGAAGGACCAGATCTTTTACAGGATCACTGCTTTGACAGAACCACATCCATCACTCCAACAGCCCCCATTTAATCAGAATGCTCCCACCTCCCTGACCAACGGGCTGTCACGTCGTACTCTGACTCTGTCAGTCTAAGCCAGTGCTTCTGTACTACTGCCTTTAATTTTCCTATTAAATTGTAGTTGTGACTTGGAATCTCCTGCTGGGTTGCTTTCAAGCTGGAACATTTCTGGTGCCCGGAGTGGGGCACCCCTGGGGGATGGTGGTGGTGGAGCACGGTGCTCTCTCCTTGCTGGGGGCTCACGGTGAGGACTCGGACCTGCAGCGGCATGGAGAGGCCGGCACGGAGGGGAGTGATGGGGGAAAGCCCATGGGGAGAAGGGAGGCCTGGTGTCAGCTGGGTATGGAGAAGGGGACCTCACCCACCTCGATGGGGATGAGGAGGGGAAAAAGAGGAGGATGATAGGAACAGCAGGCAGCCAGAAGATGATGATTTACAGATTGAAAAACCTGAGGCTGGTGACCTAAAGGAATTCCAAGAAGTGGAGGAAAGAGATCCTCAGGAACTGGTTGCTTTTGCAGAGAGAGTGTGGAACATGTCTTCAGATAAGATCAAAATCCCTCCTGAGCCTCTTGGCAGATGTTCTAACCAATTGCAGGATAAAATTAAAAAGCTGTATGAGAGGAAAATGAAAGAGGGCATGGATATGAACTACATCATCCAGAACAAAAAGGAATTTCGCAACCCCAGCATCCATGAAAAGCTGATCCAGTTTTGTTCCATTGATGAAATTGGTACAAATTGCCCAAAGGACACGTTTGATCCTTATAGCTGGTTAGAGGATTCATATTATGAGGCACTAGCTAAAGCCCAGAAGACTGAGATGGACGAATTGAAGAAGGCCAAGAAAGAACTTACAAAGATTGAATTTGTGACTGGCACTAAAAAGGGTACAGCAAGAAGCGCTGGTTCCACAACCACCACAACATCCAGCACCACTGTGGGAGATGCCCAGAAGAAGAGAAGGAGCGAGTGACACATGTTGAGGAAGGGTCTCAAAGAATGACTCATAAAATCACATAATCTCATTGTGAGCTCCCTCACCCTGGGGGAGGAACCAAACATTCCTACCTGGATAGAATCTGAGGCCTGGAACACCACTGGAGCACCACCACTGCATTCCCAGAGGACAAGAGCTCCATAACCACCACTGCACCTCCAGAGAAGGACCAGATCTTTCTACAGGATCATTGCCTTGACAGAACCACATCCATCACTACAACAGCCCCCATTAAATCAGACTGCTCCCACCTCCCTGACCAACGGGCTGTCAGGTCGTACTCTGACTCTGTCAGTCTAAGCCAGTGCTTCTGTACTACTGCCTTTACTTTAATTTTCCTATTAAATTGTAGTTGTGACTTGGAATCTCCTGCTGGATTGTTTTCAAACTAATACGCTGCCCCATCACTTTCTGGCAGAATCCAGGAATGTTTCTGTCCTGACATTGTCTCCACCAAGCCCTACAGGCATTCCTTTCCCAGACAGCAACAGGAATAGGATTAGGATGAATCACAAGCTGAGGGTAACCTGGGCTATGGGACTACACTCCCTTTGCCTCTGTGAAAATCATGGAATCCCAGAGTGGTTTGGATCGGAAGGGACCTTCAAGATCATGCAGTTGCACCTCCTGCCATGGAGGGACACTCCACTAACCCAGGTTGCTCCAAGCCCCATCCAACCTGGCCTTGGATGCCCCCAGGGATGGGGCAGCCACAGCATTTCCAGGCAACCTCAACAACCCATTCCAAACCATCACACTTGGTGCCACCAGAGGCCAAGAGGCACCTGCAGAGTTCTGCACAGGGACACTCCATGGCCTGGCCTCCCAGGATCCTGCCCAGGAACAGCAGATATCCGGGATTTTCCCTTTATTCCCTTCCTCCAGGCGGCAGCCGAGCATCTCCCGGCCCCGCCCGCGGCCCTGAGTGGCAGTGAATGAACTGCCCTGACATCTCCTCTTGAAGCAAAGCAAAATGTGTTGAAGATAAACCAGTTCCAGATGTTTTCCCAGTGTTGCCAAGTTACTCAACATGTTCTGCTTTAGTTGTCAGATGCTTTCAAAGCGATTTCCCTAACTCCGAGCACGAATGGTGAGGGCTCTCCCTGGGAATCTTCTGCCTGAGGCTACCATGGATCTGTATTTTCATAAGAAAAAGGCTCAGCTAATGATTAATGTTCCCCAGAGGAAGCGGGGCCTTTCTTTGGGATTTTTCTTCAGTTATTTTTAATTAATTTGTACAACTGGCAGCTACATGAAAGTGCAAAACCCGGGAATAACGCTGGATCCGACTCCTTTTGCTCCTTCTCTCTGCCCACACCTGGAGCTTGTGGAGACATCATCATCCCTCACTTCCCTGGGAATGAGAAACCCCCTCACCAGGGAGGAATCACTGCTTCCCACTGGGAATTTTCTCTGAGAAAAGAGAAGTTTGTCTACTGAAGGAAAAGTTGAGTTTTACATATAAATCCCAACATGGGGCATCTTCTTCAGGGAGAAGAGATAAGATCATTGGATGAAAAGGACAAAGTCCCTTGGGTTTAAATTCCTGGTAGGATAAATCATTTAGAGCTCAATGTATTCCAGGGTGGCTTTGGGAATGTGGAAAGCGTTTGGGATTGCGAAGGGCAATGGTGGACACAGGGCTTGGGGTGAAGCATGCCTGGACACACAGGGTAAGGAAGCCCTTCCCCTCTTTATCCAGGCACATTCCTTCTTTATCCAAGCACACTTGCTCCTTTTCCAGGCACATTCCCTCCACTTTGTAATAAAAATAATGCCAGTGGTGTTAAGTGAGACAATGTCACCGTCTGCTTCCTGGGCTGTTCTCTCAGAGACCAAAGCCAGAGTACTCAGGGATGGAGGATTAGGAGGTTGTAATGTCAGACAAAAAGCAGGAATTTTATCCAATGGGCTCCTGATGATGGACTGCTTTATACACCACTTCCAGCTGCTCCTGCTCTGGGAACAGCCTCGTCTGGATCCGTTTAAACAGATTGGCAAAGTGTTGAATGCAGCATATGGTGCCCTAAAACCACAGAACTTATTGACAGCAGCCCAGACTCACTAAAGAAAAGATCTTCTACAGCCTTGCTCTGGGAAGACCCAGCACTTTCCTCCCACTTGTAGCAGGTAAAGTCCATCCCACTCTCCCAGAGTGGATCCGCATCCCGTGTGCTCTCTCCGGCATCTTGTCCTCTTGGGAACACCCCTCGGGAGCTGTGGCCTGGAAAACACATGGATCTCCTGTCCTGGTGGCCTCCTCACTCCTGGTGGATGGGGCTCAAACCTCCCCAGTAGCCACCCAAACCAGCTCAGCCCTGAATTGGCTCCACTTCCTGATTCACTGGGACGAAACATGTGCTCCTGATGAGGGAAGCCTCCAGCTGGTGTTAGGGGAAGGTGAAACTGTTTCTCACAGCTCCCAGGTTATCCCAGCAAATCCCTGCCAGGACCCCCTGAAGATGACTTAGGTCATTGAATCTCACTCCTGCAACTCTGTGGAAATCATGGAATCATGGAATGGTTTAGGTTGAAGGGATCTTAAAGCCCATCCAGTTCCACTCTCTGCCATGAGCAGGGACACTTCCTACTGGACCAGGTTGCTCCAAGCCCTGTACAACCTGGCCTTGGACACTTCCACAGCTCCTCTGGGAATCCCACATCACCCATCACCACCCCCAAGCCTGGCCTGACGCTCGATCACCAGCAGGACACAAGGGCTTCAGGGCAGGGAGAAGGACACACATCCCTCAGGGAGGTGCCGGATCTGGATGTGTGCAGGGACCGAGGCTGGGCCACCCCATGCCCACCAGCACTGCTCAGTGTCACACATGACACAATGCACAGGGCCAGTGACTCAGGGCCACTTGCTGACGCACCACACTGGGCTATTCTTCTCGCTCCTGATGAGTCGCTCCAAGATTGGACACAGTCTATCTCCGACAGAGGCGCCTGGAATTAGCTTAACTCTTGGCAGTGCAGGAGAAATCTAATTTCCTTTGGGATCCGGCTGTCTGGAGGCAGGGACAGGGCTGTGCTCCCTCCCATGCCCTGCCTGGGAGCTTTTGCTCCTTGTCAGAGCATCTCCACAACCAACTGCTCACAGAAAACCAAGGGACTGGATCCCAGCTTGCAGAACTGCTCCATGTCCAGCTGTTCTGATTGGTGTAAACTAGGCTGAAATTATATGGATGTCATGAGGAATAGTCAAATGAGAGACATCCTACTTTTTGGGTGGTAGTAGCAAGGGAATCTGCTTGGGAAACACTCTCAATCTTCCATGTGCCCCACCTCTCCCACCCCAAAAACCATGGGACAATGGGATCACAGGCCTCGTCTCTGCAGGACTTTGGGAACAGGCAACTGGTAGTGTGTAAACATCACCCCAAAGCTCTGAGATTCAAGTCAAAGCAGGAATCAAACATTCAGCTGCTTCTCAGAGCCTCTTTGGTCTGGAAATGGGCTGGAAATGTCAGGAAACCTGTGCTTCCCACGAGATGCCTGGTACTTCCTTCTTCCAGCCGGGCAGGAAGTAGCTTTGCTCATGGGGCTCTGCTCTTGGGGCTCTGCTTGGTTTTGCTTCACCTCAACAGACCAGAAACAACAAAACTCCTATGGATCATCAACTCTGGGACTTCTTGCATCCTCACAGGGATCTGGGATTAATTTGGGATGCAGGACATTCCTCCTGCTCCATCCCTGTCTCCTGCAGTGACCCACACAGGGCTCTGCTGTAGGTTCCTATCAAGAGCCAGCCTGGAAACAGAGGGACCATCCCAGCCCTTCTGGGAGCAGGGAGTGGGCTCACACCCAACTCGTGACCTTGTGCTAAAACACCCTTTTTCCTTCCCTGCCCACACCCAGGACAAATTACAGCCCCTGGTGCCTGGCCTGGAGGCACCTCCTCGCAGTGTCCATGCTGGGAACAGTTCTGGTGGCTGGGTGGAGAATTGAGAGTTTCCTAGGAAATGACCTGGGGATCAGATCCTAGGGATCTGATGTTTGTTTGGGGCTGAATCCCTGCATATGCTGAGCTCAGGTTAAAAATCCACCCCAAGTGAGCCAAATGAGGCTACACCAGCCAGCACCTTGCCCAGCCAAGTCCAGCTGGGCTCCCAGAAATTTCCGGATCTGGGGGCATCCATGGATTGAAACTATTCACAAAAATGCTCCTCCCTAGCTGGGCCTTATTAGTGCCTCTTTGTGTGGGAGACTCTCCCTCCAAGCTAGATTTCTCCAGCCCGTTTGCCCAGTCCTCCTGCCATCCAGTCAATGATTTGTAGCTGGGAAGCATGGAAGGATGCCTTTGGGATTCCCTGCATCCAACTGCTGCCACGTGGGATCCCTCTCCCTCACAGCCTGTGTGCTGCTGGAGTCACATCTCCCCAACTCCTCACTGAGACCAGTCCCACCAGCCGGGGAGGACAACAAAAAAGGTTACACCAAATCATCAGGACACTTTGCAAAGTGGGATGTGGGAATGCTGGGGACATCCCTCCTGCTCCAAGCCTCCTCCCTCTCCTCCTCCTCGCATAGAGCAGCAGGAAAGGCCAGGCTGGAGGAGCAGGCTGGGATGCAGTGAGACCAACCCCGAGTGGTACCACAGTGCAGTGTCACAGCGTCCCACTCCTGTCCCCAAACGCCACCAGCGCCGCGCTGAGGACATTGCGTCTCACCAGGGCGGTTCTGCCCCGAGCCCCAGTGGCTTTTCCCTGGGACAGGAGTGGGCCAGGCTGTGCCGGGAGGTGCTGCCCCTCCGCCTGCTCCCTCGGCATTCAGACCCAGGAGAAAAGGAACCAGGGCCGGGCTGACCGTCCAACCTCGGCACGGTGCGGGCGGGGGAGGCGCGGGCACTCAAGGCACTCGCGGCAGCGGCCGGGGGACACCCGGCAGTCCCATGGGGACACCCTTCGATTCCCAGGGACCCCTCCCCTCGGTCCCCCCGCCTCCGTGCCGTTCCTGCCCTCCCGGCGCCTGCGGGGCCGGGAATGCTGGCCCTGCCCGAACCCTTCTGGCGCCGGGTCCCGCAGCCCTGTGCGCGTTAGAGACTCTTCACCACGGGGATGCCCCGCGCGAGCAGCTCTTGGGGGATGTGCGGGGGTGCGCGTGTGCCACCCCCAACCCCGTGCCTCCCATTGGAGGAATAGCATGTGCCCCCCTTATGGGAAAAGATCTGGCGTTCTCCTTGGAGGTCGGCTCTGCCCTCTGTGTCACTCGTCCCGGGCCACGCTCTCCTCCAGGGCGGGCGGGGCCTCCAGGCCGAGCCCCCCGGCGCCGCCGTGCACGCTCGAGAAGGACACCATGGTGTGGAGGAGCATCAGGACCAGCACGCACAGTCTGATCCTGCTGCTGCCGAGGCGAGACCCCGCAGAGACCGGCAGCAAGGACGGGGAGCGAGGCTGGTGGTACTGGTGGTACTGGTGGTGGTGGTGGTGGTAGAGGTGGTAGTGGTTCTGCCTCTGGTGATGGAGGTGGGGGTCGTGGCGGTGGAAATGGAGCGACTCTGACGCCGTGGATTTGGGGGATGTGTCCTCGTTGCTGTCTGGGGGGTGCTCGCAGGAGTCCCATTGCACCTCGCAGCACTTGGCCTCCTCGTCGGGCAGCTGGTTCTCCAGCAGCCCTGCAGGGAGGAAGGAAGCAGAGGAGGGGTCAGTGGGACACTGAGGAGGAAGCGAGCCCCGGTGCCCACCAGCCGTGGGATGGGCACACCTGAGAACCAGGACATCCAGACACCCCCTGGCACTGGCCCCAGCATGTGTGAGCCTGCACACACCAGCAAGGTGAGCTCAGGGCTCCCCAAATCCTGTTCACAATGGTTCAATATCCTCACCCTGCTTTAATCCATCACCTGCAGCTCCCTCTGTGCTTTAGCTTTCAGTCAGAGGTAGGACTTTCACCTCCTGGGCTGAGATGTTGCTGTGTCCCCATTAACCCCTTACCCCCGTACCCTTGGGATGGCCACGTTTTGGCATCAGGCAATGTTTCCTCACTGCCCCTCCTCCCACTCCACCCCGGCAAGCCTTCCAAACCTGGGGAGTGGCTTGGAAATTCGCCAGGGCTCCCCATCACCCCCGCCCCTGTGCCCGGTGTGAGCCCGGCCCTCCTTACCCGTACAGATGAAGCCAGGCAAACCTCCATAGATCAGCTCATCATTGTCCGGTAACACGAAGGGGCACCTGGTCTGCACCTCCAGGCAGTATTGCTTGCATGGGATCCGCTGCCGGCACTGCTGCTGGGTCACGTTGAAGTACTCGGAGCACAGCCACGCCTTGTAGACAGCCTGGGGGAAATCGTGGAGAAAGGGACACGTCACTTCCCAAGCACCGGGACAGCTGCAGCACCGCAGGGTGGAAGGGGACGGGAGAGCTCCCAGCTCTTGTAGGAAATGCGTGTTGGGGTCATTTGTTGAACAGCGATGGATTCAAACAATCCACTGGAGTGTAACAATGGTGGAATTCATCTATCCAGCTAAATCCACCATGAAAATAAAGCTAATTACCACAGGAATAATGTCCCCTACAGACAGGCATTGTGACAGATTCTGCCAACATCAGTGACCCAAGAGCTCAGTCCATCACACAGAAATTCAAACGCTGCTTATCACCTGTCCCAGAGTGTCCTCCTCATCCCCAAGACATCCCACTGCTCTCCTGGGAAGGGGAGGATTCTCACCTCCTCTAAAGTGCTTTGGCCACCATCAGCTCTGGACATGGGACAGCAAAACACATCATGGGCTGGTCTTCACTGGAAATTTCCTGCTGGAAAAGCTGCTGGACAGAAGCAGCTGGGATGCAGCACATGCAGCCACTGCACCTCAGGCTTGTCCCTCTCTGCCACCAAGTAACACCTTCCTCACGTTCCCCACCAGGTCCTGGGAGAGGTTCCTGATTCCTTGACATCTGGAACTTCTGCTGTTTCTGCCATTTCTTTTGGCTGAAGGGGAAAACTTGTTCATTTTCCATGGATGTTCTGGCACTGAGATGTACCAGTGGTGCAGGTGTCTCCATGTGCTCCATTCATCTTCCTGATACTTCAAGCTGTGCTTGGCAACATTTCCAGAAGGAAGAGCACCCTGGGGGTTCAGCTGTGACTGCAAGGCTGCCACATTCCCTGCCTCTCCAGCCTGTCCAGTCCTGGGTTTCCCTCTTCCCTTCCAGCCTCCATGTGCCTGTGCCCACAGCACACAGCCGGCCATAGCCCAGCTGGCTCAGTTACAACCATATTCCCAAATTTCCCTTACTTCCCCAGCATCAGGCATGGAGGAAGTTGCTTGTCTCTACTGGCTGTAACAGACAGGGAGGGAGAGCCCCCATTTCTCCTGGTGTGCATCATTCCACAGGCTGCAAGAAACCCGTGGCACTTCCAGCTCATCCATGAACTCATGAGGGCACGAGTGACAGCACCATGGTCATTCCATGGCCACATGCAACTTCCTTTGAAACCAGCTAGAAAGGGCTCCCTGTGATTCAAAGGGAATGAGTTTCCCTCTTCTGCATGCTTAGAGAAACCCCCTGCTCTGCCTTCCAGCTGCATTTTCATTTTCTTGAGGCTTTAAACCCATCACTTCTTTGTTTCCCCATGTTTTTCATAGATCCTTATCATTGTTTCTTTGGCCCATGGTAGTGTCTCAGGATTAAAGCTGGTTGGGAAATTCTTGGCAAGTTATTTTAGTTTGTTTTTTTTTCCTGTAAAATGCCAAATCATGAAAGCCAGAATTTTCACAGAATTGTGTTAGCTTTGGTGAAACTTTCATCCCAAAAAGTTTAATGGGCACCAGGACACAATTTATGGAGTGAACATTTTGGAGCTGTCCCCAGTACTCTGGGCAGGGCTGGCCCCTGGAATGTGGGAATGCAGGTGCTTGTTCTCCTTGTCCTGTTGGATGTTAATTACTGGGACACAGTGGAGTGGCTCCAGAGGAGGGAATGACTGCAGAGTGTGAGGACACAAGCAGGAGAGTTTTGAGGTCTGGATCTGTCATCCCTGGAAGTGTCCAGGGCCAGGCTGGATGGGGTTTGGAGCACCCTGGGATAGTGGGAGGTGTCCCTGCCTGTGGCAGGAGGTAGGACAGGATGGATTTAAGGTCCCTTCTAACCCAAACCATGCTATGACTGCATGATCTGCCCGAGCTGATTCCCTAGAACCGAGGAGGAAGAGGCCGTGCTCCGGAGGGGCCACAACCCCCACTGCAGCAGTGCCCTCCCTGATGGCCTCTGCTCCCTTGGGGACAGTGTCAGGAGCAAGCAGACAGAGGGACAGCAAGGAGGACACAGCAGGACCCCTCAGTGGGTGGCACATGGCCCTCTGCAGGCACCATGAGTTTCTCTCTGTTGGGAAAGCAGGACCTGTCCCTGCTGCTGTGGAACCTCAACAGGGTGTAAAGGAGGGTTAGAGAGCTCAGGGGACAGTGACACCTCACACTGATGGGACACAGCACCAGGGGGTGTACAGTGGGCTCCAAAGCACAAACTGACTGCCCAGGATGTATTCAGGCAGGCCATATCCTTAATTCCAATCTGAGGACTCAACAAGTCCCTGCCTGGACATGATGCTGTTATTCCCACACACTCCAGACACACTCCAGTGTAATCTGGAGCAAAACAGAGAGAGGCCTTATTAATTACCTTAATTATTTGGGGTGCCTTTAGAGCAACAAGGAGAGGGTGTCCTGAGAACAGCCCAACCCTCAGAACATCCAGCAGCGAGTGGCTGGATGAGCTTCTCCTTCCCCTGGTGACCATCCAGGATTTTGGACAGCTGGTGTGGATGACCTGCTTGAATTTGAACTGGCTGATGTCAGGTGATTTCTTCCCAAAGCCATGAAGCTTAAGGATTAAAATCTGGATGGATTAATTGAACCACAACCAGCCTGCAGTTTAAAGGGGAATTATGAATGCACAAGGAGCTGGATTGACATTACTGGTGTGCCCAGTCCCATCTGGGATGGACACCCTGAATCCATCCCTCCAGCTCAGCCTCTTTTCCAGCCCTCATCTGCCTCAGGATAAACATCTCCATCAATGGGACTTCCTCGTGTTTCCCAAGGAGGTTGTTTTACAGCACTTATCTCGCTGCCTACAAGTTTTCCTTCATACTTGACCTACATTTTTCCATCCAAAAGTTCACTCCCTTCAATCATTCCCTCCACCATTCCCTCTCCCTGCTCTGTGTTTACACATCTCTAATATTTGCAGATGTCTCATGCTCCCCCTTTAGTCACAACTCAGGCGAGCTGGGCTGATTTACTCACTCCCATTTCCTGCCAGTCTCCTTCCCAGCTCTGCTCTCCCACGCTGCTTCCCAGATCCCAGTCACATCCCAGCTCCCACCTGGGCTCACATGCAGCCTGGCATGGAGGCTACACTGACTGCTCCAGCAGAGGATTGTGGGTGTCACCTGAGCTGTCCCAGCTCCAGATTTGGGTGGAAAAGGCAGCTGGAGCAGGAGATTTCCCAGAGCTTTGTAGGAAACTGATTAGGTTAATCCTGCTCTCATGTGGAAACAGCTGGCACAAGCAGGCTCTGCATGGATTCACACATATCCCCCCTAAAATGTTTGTGATGATTCCCATCAGGGAAGTCTGGCAGAGGGTTGGGGTCACACACAGGGACATTCCATGAATTTAATGAAAATATGGAAGGAGACACTGCAAGGAGCTGGTGATACCACTGGGGAGGGCAGAGCTGGAGCACTCACCCAGAACCTGAACCAGGATTCCCTGGCTGCCTTCCATTCTTCCTTCCCTTTCCCCTTGAGGGAAGCACTGACCCCAGCCAGCCCTTGCCATTCCCTTGTGGCAGATCCTCCAGGTGCTGCAGCAGGAATTCCTACAGCTCTACAGGATGGAAACTGCCTGTGTGTACTCACAAACAGACACATCCAAGACCTGCTGGTCCAACGGGGCTCTCCCACTCCACTGGGATCAGGCTGAGACACAGGTGAGATCCCAGTGGCCTCCCATCACTCACCCAGAGAGATCCATGTCACAGACAAGGAGCAAATTCCCTAGGAGATGCTCAAGGTTTTGATACCCCCAAGCTTACCCCCCACAACCTCCTTAGTTCTGCTGTTAAAAAGGACATGTGAGAATTTAGGACAGGAAGAAATTTATTCCCCGCTTAGATCAACTAGGAAAGCTCCCTGGTTTCCATCCTCACCCTCTCTGGATTCTTCAGGAAGCGGGTTGGGTTGCAATCAGTGTTCCTGCCATTCTGGTTTGGCTTTTGGCAGATCTCCAGCCTGGCCAAGTAAATTAAAGTGACCTCAACTCCAAAATAGCTCCAATTTGGTGCCCTCTTCCTGCATTTTTAGCTCTGGAGGACTGGCTGCATGACTCTGAGGAAGCACACAGAATTTGGGTGCCTAGGAAAGGAGCCAGCTTCACAGACTCAATTTATATGGAAGGAAAAGGACAGGCTATCTGTCCACATTGGAATTTTGGAGGTGGGATGAAAAACCTCATCCTAAAAGACATTAAAAAAACCCAAAATTAATTGGATTTCTAATAGAGAATTAGGCTGTCTGCTCATGCTTCCAGTGGGATCTGGAAGCAGCAGTCAGAGGGATGGCACTTTCACAGGGAATTCTGTGCCAAGTGGGAGTTCTTCCCTGCTTGCACTATTCCCTCTGTCTCCTGGCAGTACCAGGACAGCATTCCCCACCAAACAGCTTTTCCAAAGTCTTTTTGTGTCCTTAGGATTTCTGCACAAATGTGAGCACTTCAAGGCCAGTCCAGTTGCTGTCAGTATGTTGGAAACACTGGCACTGCCTGTGGAACCATCCCAGCTGCATTTTGGGAGAACTGAGGAGCAGGAATGGAGCAGCATTCTCAGGACACACCAGCACTGCAGAGGATGCAGTGTTTGGGATAGTCTGGATGCCCACTGGGAATGCCAGCTGTAATTAACACAACAAACTGCTGTTTTCCCATCTGAACAGGAATCAATGCTTGGGAAGTTTCCCCAAGGAAAATCCTGCTAATGGCATAAACATAATAAACCCTTCTCATTAATTAGTGGCAGGGATTGGGGCAGCATCCCCAGCCCCAAATCTACTTCTCTGGAAGGGGGAGATGCAGTCTGGAAGGCAGAGAGGGAAATGGGGAGATTTTCCCTACAGAATAACCTCAGAAGGAGTCCTGGGAATGTGCTTGGACCAGAGGTGAGGATCACTCTGGAAGCTGGCTTCTGCCATCATGGCTCTCCTCCTTTCTCTCCTCTGACTGGGTGCACCCAGCTCCCAGCAGGGATAGGATGAAAAATCCCTGCCTGTCCCTGCCAG